TCCTTAACTACCTCTACACGCCTCTCGTCGATGAGTTGCACAAGCAGTTGGTGACATGCTCACGGTAGCAACCGTTGCTTTTTCACTTGCAGAAATGGGACACAGCGTTTTTCCAATCCCGACTGTCAACATGCATTTGGACTGTGCTCACAAAATTTATGCAGCAACGGTGCTCTCCACGCTGTCTCAGTCCTTGCGCATAAATGTTGACAGGACATTACAATACCAGTTATCTCGGCTTAGGGCTTTCTCCGACATTTGGATTATGAACCACTGCATGGACTGCAATCGAACGTGCTATATTCTGCCTCTATGACAAATGCCAAATTGACCCCCTCCCTACCACAGTTTCTGCTTAGCTCACTGATGCCGACATTTCCAGTCATCCTGACATTGACTTTTGCAATGTCCCTAACGTGGTGTCGTGGCACTATACTGCTGCTACAGAAGGATGAAGGAGACCTCCTAAGACCCTAATGCCAATGAGACTTTATCTGCTCGTTGGGCCAATATGGTGGTAGTGATTAGCACATTGGTGAACATGTGACAAGAAGCAGTCATGACAAGCCTGCTTCCATTTCCTTAAGACCCGCAGTACTTGCATTGTCAGTCAATATGAGCAGACGAGGTGACTCCTCACGCGCTCGTGACGACTTGCACCAACATTGTCTGTATCGGCTGTCAGCACAAACACTACCTCGTACAATGAACGTTTGTTTATGGAACCAACCATGGAGGCGAGATTCGTCCCCGCATCAATTGCTAGGTGTGATCCGTCTGCATCCTTTCTTGGCATTTTGCGATAACGACGACACACTCCCACCATCACTACAACCTCTGCCACCAACTCCACCACACTGTCCCCACGAGAGGCCATTGAGTGCAAGGCTTCAAGCGATTGATCAGCTTGCATCACGTGAGCGATAAAGCCCTCTCGTGATGGTAATGGAAGACCGTAGAGCGGACTAGGAGGATCACACGAACCCACACATCCTTTTGCATGACAGAACCACGTCTCTGCAAGACGATCGCACCAACTCTGCTCTTCATCACCCATTTTTATCATAGGCATACTTTGTTTGTGTGTGAAGGAGAATTGGGCAGGTTTGTGTGGTCAAGATGATCGAAGATGTCACTAGA